TAGCGTAAAGTTTCAATGTCCATTAGCTAGTAGTGTTCTATACCTTGAAAGATATACTGCGGACGGAATACCTATTACATTCACTAAGATTTAGTAACCAAAAGATGCAACCACTAGACTGGTGAGTGAATTGATCATTTCAGAGTTTAGCATGCACCAATACAAGTAGTGAATGAAGTCAAAAGCATTGGAGCGTGCTCCAAATGAAGATGATTTAGGCTAACTGAAAAGCACCAAAGAAGATTAAACGGTCTGAGAAGATTGTTTACCGTATGTAAGTATTAACTGATTTTTGGATATATATGCATAGTAGTGAAATGCAGTAACAATATCACCAAATGTGATGCAGAACAAGTAAAAATGCTATTTTTAATATTCCAATTCACTGGAAATGGGGTTTGGTCTATTGTGTGCACGTACTCACTGCCCAATGCAAGAAGCTCAGACAACGATATCGGATACAATATACAAGCAAGGGAAAAACGGTTTCATAAAAAACCATGAGAAAATAGTGCGTATGATGAGGTTAATAAATACAAGCTGTGTATGTAAGTGTTAATGGGAAGGCCAGAAGTGATAGGCAAATGGAGAGGAGAAACCGTGCGATGCAGCCTCGGGCATACCTGGTACCGATTTGTGGCCGAACTTTTCCTTCGTATTGGTAGAGGGGGTTGCTGAGATGATCGGATCACAGTGCCGGTTGTGTTGTTGGTGTTGTTCAGCGAGATCGGAACTGGGACCTCCCTAGTGGAGATGGCGGTAGTGCTGGTATGAACGGGTTGTGTGTCGTAGTTATTGGTTAGGAATACACGGCCACACATGGACGCGTTGACAACAGTCCCATTCAAGTGTGGTTTATTCGCAGTGAGTGGTGCTGATGCTGCAAGTAGTGGTGGTGGAGGTGGTGGTGGTGGGTGGATGGCTCCATTGCGAGCCTTCGTGTAGATCGGGAGTAATGGAAGAACGAAAAAAGAAACAAACTACGCGTGTGAGTGACACCAACTAAGGGAGTGGGGGAACCTCCGTGAAAAGCAATCGGAAATGGTAAAAGCACCTATACAAACTGATTTAACGCACCGGAACACGTCTAATGCAACAAACGAAAAAATGGCAAGCCCGATTCATTCCGTGGTGTGACTAGGTTAACGGCTATAATGTGTGTGAGAGAAAGAGAAAATACAAAGCAATGCAATAAATGCTGTTGCAGTGAGATATCTGTGCATGCGGGTCTGTGAGTGGTGAGAATGCACATAAGTCTATCCAGAGCACCGATTAAACTGAGTGCAGAAACTCACGTGGGCCGGGATCCACTAGCAACAGATGGTGTTGAAAAAAGAAAAACTCAAGCAGTCAAACGTCAATTTAGTGCTTAAGGATAGATATATATAGATAGATATATATATACCTAAGGTGATAACAATTTGAAAAACGGAACGAATGTGAAAGATCAAGCAACGAAGGCGATAAACCGAAAGCTAGTCATTGCTCTGCACATTATCGGATTTTGATCCTTTTCTTTCGTATTATTTGTTGGTAAGGGTCACACGAGCTTTTGCTACATTCAGACTAGATCATAGATACGCGACCGAGTCCTGAATTTGTTGTAAGACCGGATTCGAGAGAAACCAGTAAAACGAAAGTGAGTGAAATGTCTATTACTACTACTAAACAGTGACTTCGTACTTGTATTTCAAGAGCGCATTGTTCGTCGTGCAACCTATTCATAATTCCTGATGAATATAGTGGCTGTGGACATCCGCTGCGTTCGTTCGTTTTGCCCGAAGTGGAATATCCTTCAGATTACTAGGATTGTAAACTTCCTCGTTGTTTTAATGTTTTTGGCTAATAATAAGGATGGAAACTGCTGTTCAGAAGTTTCATGCTTTTCAGTGGTGGGTTAAGACAAGCAAAGTCACGTGGTCATTTTGACTATTCCATTTTTTCAAACTTGAATAACTTTTTCAGGTGAACTACAAAATTAGTATTAGTGATATTTCCTGAGAGTTGTGTTAACAAAACCTCTGATGACCGTCCAATTGTGAACAGTCTTACTTGAAATACCAAGTGAACTTGACGCAGTGTTCTGGGTCGCATCAAGCCGTTTCAGCTGTTCCAACACATTCATCGATTTAGCAGATAGACG